GCTTAATTTCAAAGTCCTGTTAGGCCATAAAAATAAATGTCTGCTCTTTCATACGCCCTTCATTTTGTACCACATTTTATAAAGACTGTCTTTGACTGCAGCAGCAAATTCTCCCTTATCCTCATTGTAGCAGGTTTATTTTTGTCTTATCCAGGCAAAAGGCACAAACACACTAAAAGGTGTTTCTACTCCTCCTTCCCCCCTCCCTCCCACACCCTACTGCATTTTTTAATCTTTACTTGATTTTGGAGGTGTTTTATTTAATTTAATTTTTTTTTTGTATGTGTGTGTGTTTTTCAGAAGTCAGTATTTTCTACTAGCAAGACAATTTTTTTTTTTTTCCTGTGACAACTTGCAGTATCATGTCATTCTTTAAAATAGATATGAAGTATTCCATAAAACTTCTGGGTGGCCACCTTTCAATCTTCTCTGTTGACTCTTCAATTATTTGTAACACAAAGTCATGCTTCCTCTTTGTTTCCTAGTTTCTCTAGATGCTAATTCTGTTTACATTAGATGAAATAAAATTTTCCTGATTCAGTGTATCTGAGTAGTTATATTGGCATGGGTATGTACTGGTATTGTCTCATAAATAACTGATGATGACCCCAAGAAAAGGGGAAATTGAAATGAGCTTAGGTGTTGGTGGGAAGAGCAGGGAAGTTACTGGCTAGGAGTAAATACTTGGTTATTGGGACAGCAGCAGAAAGGCTAGACACGGGAAAAGAGAAGGTTGTAGAAAAATGTAAAAAGAGTTCAACAGAAAATATTATTAATGGAAATAAAGATAGGTAGAGATACATCACCTTTGATTTACAGAAATGTTTCTTTGGCAAGGAGTAAAAATCTGCTTTTATGGAGATATCCTCAACACTATCTTTTCCAAAATGTGAGGTGAAATCCTTGGAAGTATGACAAGTCTGGTCATATTTGTGTCATAAATCAGTAGGTTCATGTGGTCCAAGTTCATTGTTTTATTACTCTGGAGATCCAGGAGATACACAACATTCTGATGAAGGTATGAATCCATGCTGTCTTTAATTCTGCATGTGCTTTTGCCATCTGGCTTTGGAAATGGTGTGAGCACCCAAAGTTAACCTGATACAATATGGTCTCAGTAGGAAAGGGCAATCCAGCCCAACTGTCCCCTCGTTATCTAAATGCTGGTAAAACAGTGATGGAATATTAATCTCCACTGATGAGCTTCTGCAAAGTTACTAAGTCTCCCAAATAATCAATAATCCAGAGATTAGAAAGTGAAGTTCTGTTGCTGCTCTACTTATGGTATTTGCTGTGAATAAATAAATAAATAAATAATAATAACAGGATAAGAAAAAATGAAATTATTACTATACATTTTCTACCTTGCTGTTCCATGCTTTACAATTGCCTAATTGTTCATCAGCTTCACAATAGAAACGCTTTTTTTTTTTTTTTTTTTTTTTCATGCACTTAAAGATGACTTAAGTGTCATTTAGTCAACTGGCAGAACAAAGAAGTCAATTTATGGATCAGATTTTTGCTATTTCTTTATTCTTTAAAATAATTTACTTTATTGGTTTAGTGTGCTGAAAGGTGAGGATTGACAGGAGTACACTGCAGAAATATCACTCCACAAAATCGGGTCATACACACACATCTTTGGTAAAGCTGGAGTTGAAAAGGTAGGACTTTGTTAGCTTCTGTTTGCATTTAAATTTAAATTCCCCCCCCAAAAAAAACAAAAAAAAAAGTACCCTAGTACACTCTGAATCATACTGTGCCAAGTGTTAGAAACAAATGCGTGAAAGTGTAGGGAAGGAAGGCTGAAAACAGCTGTCTTCTTCACCCAACCAACCCCATCCCACAGAGTCCAGCAGGAACCTACTTTCTCCCAGGAGCAATGTGAGCTCTGGCTAGTGAAGTAAATAAAGCTCATTAAAGCCCCTCACAATTTCTTCGTATTCTGCCTCATATTCGTTTCTGCCTCCTAAATAAGCCTGCTTGCTTGCACGCTTGCATACCTTATGAATGACATTCTTGCATGCCAAATCATTGCATCAATGTTCATATGCACAACCAGCTCAGTTAGTGGCTGAATATTTACCGTGTCACAGTTGGCACTGTGTCCAGCCTGGGAATACATTTCTTCTCTGATGACAAGATTTTTTTTATTTTTTTTTTTCAGACTTTCTTTTCTTAAGAAGGAATGGAAAATCTTGGAAACATTTTTGTCCTATCAGATCTTCAGGATCTTTCCAAAACCATGTAATAATGTGAAATTCTCCCAGTCAGTAGTGCATGCCTAGCTTGAAATTAGGAAAACAAGGTTAGTTTTATAGAAAAATCCTTCCTGTACTTCCTGGGGATATTTTACTACTTTGTATTAGACTCATTTCTCATTTGGGGAGGTGTGAAAGATTTCACAAGTTGCATCCTCAACAAGTTTTCAACTTCCCAATTTAGTATATACAGGCAAGATGTCATCACCTCTCTTAGGAACAGGACTGATTCAAAAGGCATGACTTCTGAGAGTTTGGTGTCCTCATTTGCTACCAAGGAATATTGACATCTGTGCAGAACAAAAGATCGTTTAGTGAGTCATCGATCTCAATAGCTGGAGTTTATTTTGTTTTCTTGCAAATCTCTCAGCTGAGTATTTAAATGAACGTGGGGACTTAGGGTAGGAAGTCTGACAAGTGAAGTTTACATCAGGCAGATGCAAATTGTGGAGGTTATTTAGTAGTCAGATTTTCCTCAGAAAATCCAAAGGCAGATAAACCCATTGCAGGAGATGAATGCACAGTCTCTCTCAAGACATCTGAAGTTTGAAGAACAGTAGCTTAATACTTCTAACAGCAATAGTTCCAATATGAACCTATGCATATTCCAGGTGAACTGTGGCAAATATATACATATCAGTATTTAAATATAACTATATAGTTATATAGTTATTATTTATTTATTTGTTTGTTTGTTTGTTTGTTTTTTTCCTGGGGGCAATGCAGAGGAGAGCACTGTGTCACAGCCTTCCCCATTATTTTTCTTTAATACACGTCTATATTCACCAACTGATTGATCTCCGTCTGCTGGATATTTATTACTCAGCTGCTCGTGAGGCCTCAGCAATTCACTCATAAGAGTGAATGCAGGACTGACTCTTCTTTTGGCCTCTTCTTCTCAGACTCTGTCTTTTTTTCAGTCCTTGTAACTGACTGTCTTTGTCCCCCAGTATATATCTTCTATTTATGTTAGGTTGAGCCCACAGCTTCTGGTAAATAGGTGAGCACTCTGCATTTTCCTTTTTTTCTGGCTACCTGTGGCAACGTTGGTGTTGTAAGATATGGAGGCTTTCAAAGAATAGCTAAATACAGTAATTCTTCAAATCAGCAATGTTTGATAGAACCAAGGGCATACATTGATTACCTTCAGCAGGACCTTCGCTTCACTTTCTGAGAATACAATTTTATCTCAGCTTGTCTTGCCAGGAAGGGGATCCCATTAGGTTCCTATAAATCTGTGACCATTGTTCATGGATACCCATGGAGAAGCTGTTTCTGTTGGGTTTGGTGGTTGTGGTTGTTTTCAGCTGCGGTTATCCGCAAAAAGCAGACAATAGATACCAGAGGACACCACAGCAAACTTAAGAGCCAATTGCACCTGCTGATCCATAATTCAAATATCTCTATATGAGGCAGTTTTATCTGATCTGGCGGCTAGCAAACGTGGTGCCCATCTACAAGAAGGCCCGGAGGACTGACCCAGGAAACTACAGGCCTGTCAGTTTGACCTCAGTGCCAGGGAAGCTCATGGAGCAGATCCTCTTGAGAGTCATCACGCGGCACTTGCAGGGCAAGCAGGCGATCAGGCCCAGTCAGCATGGGTTTATGAAAGGCAGATCCTGCTTGACAAAGCTGATCTCCTTCTATGACAAAGTGACGTGCTGGGTGGATGAGGGAAAGGCTGTGGATGTGGTCTGCCTTGACTTCAGCAAGGCTTTTGACACCGTCTCCCACAGCATTCTCCTCAAGAAACTGGCTGCTCTTGACGTGGACTGGCGCATGCTTCGTTGGATTAGAAACTGGATATGCTTTTCTTCAATCCGGGAAGAACAGGATACATAAGGCCTGAAGGCTGTGTTGCTTGACAGCTTAAAGCAAGACATATTGTTCAAAAGGAATGGAAAATTCAGATTTGTTTGTAATCAAGAAAATAAATGGAAAATGGAGACTGTTAAGTCATGGAGCTTAAAGGATTGTTTGTTACCTTTTCTGATTGTACATATGTATAGGTGTACTCAGGTATAATATGTACATGTAAAAGCAATCTTCGGTATGTTTAGAAGGTTTGACGCTCGTGTGTGCGTGTTGGTGGAGAGTAGACTCCCCGCACACACCCAGAGCTGTTTACTTGCCTTTTATACCTTTTATAAACATTCTTTTATAAATATTACTAAATTCAGATTGAGATGAGGCCTCATTTATAACAATATTAACCATATCACATACCGGGCTGCTTCCGGAATGAAGCAGCTACGCTACAAAATTAAGATACCAAGACCTAAGTTCATTTCTCGCAGACTCCCACTGGCACACTCTGCATTTTTCTATCCTTTTGCTTGAGAAGACAACCTCAGTTGAAAAAATTAATAAAGTGTAAAACAAACCAATGGGGTTTGTTCCTAATGCATTACACTATAATTGTTGTAATTATTTTTTCACCTATTTGATATGCTAAAGATTTTGCTTATAAAGAAGCAGAAAAAATAAAGCTGACAAACTCTAGTGGTATTGTCTTATGAAATGATAATTACAGATTAGTACATTGCAGAAAAATACTTGATTAGCCTAAAAATGATATGATTAGATAAAACTCTTTAAAATTGTCAGTCATGTAAGAATTTTAATATTCTCTACTCCTCTCTCTCCTTCCTACCTGTGATTTTCAAGATTTATTTGTCACTATTCCCTGTTTTACTGCCATACATAGTGTTTGTGGGCTATGGCAACCAATCCCTTTGGGCTTTCTTTTGCTTTAATTTGCATAAACACAGACATCATATGAATATTCAGTGAGTGGCTTTGCATTAAGCAAGTGCCCTTAATCAGCTTTTCAGTTCAGATTTATTGGTTGCCCACACAGTCGGCTATTTCATCCAGCAAATCTGAGGGCCCTGCAAAGCTACCCAGGTAAGAACTGGAATTTTTTGATGCATTTAATGAAGGAGAATTATCACTGATTATATAGATTGTGTGGAACACCCAAAACTTGCTGTTTTGCTTGGGGAGAAGCTATCCGTGTATTTTGTTGTTGTTGTTGTTGTTAACCCAGGATGGCCAAGCAAGCACATGCCTCTGCAATTTGCATAAACATCAACTCTTAATGAATAATGCATGAGGGTTATTTTCAACACCCAGCTCCTCACGCAGAGGGCTGTGTAGCACAGTGGCTTGATTGGCTCTGCGGCATTGTCATCACCAGCAAATATTCCTATAACTTGAAAGCCACTAAAGAATCTGGGCTCGATGTAGGGTATTTGTTTTTTTGAAAATGTCAGCTATCGTCTCACAACAAATCACACAGGTCGCCTGCTCCACCTCACCAACTCTTAGCGCTTCACACTTCCATGAAAAATGTGTTACCAGCTTGACTGGTCTGTGGCCGTGACCAGTGCCTGAGGTTCCCGGGGAAGGTGGCAGCAGCTGTATTCATCTGTAACTTGCATAAGCATTAGAATCATGTAAATAAGGAGCATGGCGCTGGAGCGCTGCACCCTCCTATTCACGGGGCGACCTCTCTGCTTGCCGCCTCTTAAACATGGATGCAATCTGGAAAGGGAAGAATTAGACAGTAAATATGTTGTTGGTATTGCTAGCTTGGTTCTTCTTATCTGTCAGTAATGTCACTCAAAGACGAAGGTTGGAGGAAGGGAAACCTTTTCATAAACTAAGGAAAGGTGAGAAAAGGGTTAATTAAGGGTTCAGCAGCTGGGAAACAGAATATAGAGAGTCAAAGCTAGTTTATGTAATTAAATTATTGGAGATAATTAGCATTGTTCTCCTTATTCTTTGCTCAGTTCTCAGCTTTTGCCTGTCTGTTGAAATGAACCATTGGGTAGGGGATAAAACCACAGTGTCTAAAAGCTGCTCTGGACCAGAACCTATGAGTAGGTCTGACCCAGAGGCTCAGAGGCATGCTAGCCCTTGGGGAGGTCGATATCCCAGTGGGATGTGATGTGTGTGAACACCAGAGGTGGACAAACTGAGAAAGATAGAAGAAAAGAGAAGCGTGATAGTCGATAACAGTTTTTGTAAAAGTTGTATTAAATGATATGCGTAATCAGAGCATCTGCCCATTAAAATGTTTCAGAGACTACACTGTGTGCATTTCGTAAGCGACAGTGGGAAGTATTCAGTTGTCTGTGGTTTCAGACTGACATTTCCACCTCTAAATTTGAAATGGCTGGGTTTTAACAATGCAGCATTACTAAAACTGCACCTTATAATGATTTCAGGTAACCTGGAGTAATGTGATGCAGAACATGGGAGGCTGATGTGTTTTCTACCATGTAGTCACCGCCAATGAGAGGATACTGAATACAGAATGTGATTTAACTCCTGGTTAAATCCCAAGAACCTGGTGCCAGCCAAAACCTGGGGGAATGGAGAGAAAAGCAATATGCCTGGGATGGTTTGGTTCTTAGTTTCCTTATTTGGGTAAATGTTATTTCTTCAAACAAATATTTCTGTGGCTTATTAAATGGCATTAGAGGACTAATTTTAGGATTCTTAGCAGGGGGCCTGCCAGGAGCTTTTTTTTTTTTTTAATTCGAACTGTTTGTCAGTTTCTGTTTTACCTTTTTTCCCTTGAGTTTCTGTGTTTGGAATGTGAAACAAGAAGGGGAAACAGGAAATAAGGAATACAAACTTAACATGTAAAAATAAGAGAAAAGAAAGTTTGTATCATGATTAGATGCCCCTACTCAAGAAATATTAACTTTTAGGCAGGATTATTAAAGCTAATTTAAAATTTATATCTCATATCAAGTATATTAAATTAAATCTTGCAGGATTTAATACTGTGCCGTTCATCACCAATGATTAAATGTTTACAGCTATAATAAACACCAGCTATCTTTGTTGTAGTGAAGGTGTTCTAGGATAGTAGTTGTAAAAGAATAAGCTAGAAGTAGATGGCTTATCATACAAATTGTGTAAAGGACATCTATATTAGTAAATACATTATTAATGTATAATAATATATTAGTATAGTATTAGTTATGGGACGTAGCACCTTATTCTGTTCCAAGCCCTCCCTAAGTGCCTGGCTTTTTTCATAATGAGAAGAAAGGAGCTTGTTAACATCCTGATTAGTTCTTCACTTGTGACTGCTGTCATGGTTTCTTAGCTGAATTTCTAGAGGCAATGTGGGGATTGCATATTTGGGAAGGACTTCAGGGCTGTCACATCCAAAGAGCAGATAACATCCATGCTGCAACAGCAAAAGGGAAGGAAGATGCTGCCTGAAGCCTCATCTGAAAAATGGAGGAATACAGGCACAGCATCATTGTCCAGGAGGAAACGTGAGGAAGTGCTGTAATGTCTTCTCTGGGCAAGGCAAAAGCTATAGGCCAACATGAAGCAATAAATTAGGATGCTGATTCTCCTCTCTCACCCCAACTTTACACCAGTGTAACACCACTGGCAGTAGTGGCAGTATTCCTCACTTACCCTGAGGAAAAGAAAAAGAAAAGCAAGCTTGGAATATTTTATATTTTCCCATGTGACTATGTATGTACATGTAAATATATCCTACAGATAGTTAATTTGGATGTACTTGGTATAAACAACAGACTTACACTGTGTTCAGCTTAAGTCTATTTTACTTTTATTTATTACAAAAAGAAACAAAACAAACAAAAAAAAAAAAAAACAACAACTCGTCACCAAAATGCAGCAAACATTTATTTTTTTTTTTGCCCAAACATTTACCCATATTAGAATGTGTCCCTAGATGTATTTGTATCTGTTTAATCTTCCACAAATTCCTCTCTATTCTCTCACAGCAACATCAAAAATCTTGCTGCTTTTGAAGACGATTTGCTGTAAACCAATGATAATCAAGATTCAGAACAAAAGTGCTGGCAGATTATCAACAAAGGAAAAATAGATGTAATGGCAGGAAGCATTTTTACATAATGAATGAGTTGTTAGCATATTCATAACTGCAAGGTGGATCACATCAGTACAATTTCTTTTTCTTTAAATTCAACCACTTAGTTTAAAGTTTAAATTTGTGTTGGTATAACGGTACAGAAAGAAAAGGCTAATAGCTCTGAGTTTTTATGTTTGTGGAATGTTTTCTGCTGTAGAAAAAGGCAGAAAAGTTCAAACTAAAAATTACAGATACTTTTAATTCATCTATTCTGTTTTGGTTTGGGATTTTATGTTATCGCTTTTGTTTTGTTTTTCTGGTTGGGGGGACAATGAGTAGGAAAATTCCGAAGTCTTTCAAATTTTTCAAATGTAATTTTAAAGGAGCATTTATAAATACCATTAGAGTCAGTTTTGGTTTTACCAGGTAGTCAAACAGAGAACTGCCAGGGTGCATCTGAACCAATCCAAAAGGAAAACGTCAACTTAGCAAAATTGTTTTTTCATTCTTTGCTTGGCTGCTGTTTTCTGAAAAATACCGGGCCACCTTTTTCAGCACCTGCAATCTCTTTCCCCAGTGATCATGATGTTTAGAGCTCTACTTCACTGCAGTCTTCATCACTAAACACCTCATTGCACCAGTGGTTGTGCTGCAGAACAAGGAACCGTTGCCCTCACATGCCCATTTTCCTGTGAAAAAGGGTGGAGAAGGGCTGATCTCAACTGCCATCATATGTTGCCCACTGCTTTTTGTCCCTTTGGGGGCTATCAAGATAAGAAAATACCTCTCATGAGTCTGTCCCAGGTACCTTGTCCAAGCACTATAATTATTTTAGTTTAGGATTACATGAATCACTTCCTGGTTTTGCCAGGACCCAAAGTTTATTTAGTGCAGGTTGTTAATGTCTTCAAAAATGAGAGATGACTTCTTAGCAGAAGGCATTGACTTTTTATATTGCACTGTATGTCCTAATACTTTAATACAGGATACCTGATGCAGCAAAAACAAATTTTAGGGAAAGGAGGACTTTGTCCAAGTGTGACGTGCATATTAAGTTTGGGTCTTGGTCCACAGTGCACAGCTCAGCAAATAAATAGTGAATATGTTCCTAGGATGTAGGACTGAACTTTTTTCCTGAGTGTTCAGATATCTACTTAAAGCAGTAATAGGAATCTGCTCATACTTTATCAAACTCCAAATGTTGCACACACAATATTGTATTTATTCACCTAGAGCACCTTGGAAAATATCTGATTTCTAAGGCAAAAATACATGGACTTATATGTCTGTGGCATAATTTACTATATTTTCTGAAATGTAATTTTTTTTTCCAAATGTTTTTATTTCTTGGATTTGCAGTATAGTTGTACTACATTACATCCAAAAAGTATGTGTAAATTTTTATATCTTTGTATCATTGCAGATGTGCAGGGCATAATGGGACATGCGCTAAATAAGTGCATAAGCATTAATATGACATAATTAACAATTCTTGCCACTGCCTGATTTTATCTGTTTATATGACTTCTTACTCAGAAAACTGAAATATGTCAATAGCACTGTCTCCACTTTTTATAACACTGTTGTAATCCGCATTTTTACATTTTCACAGCACAGAGAAGTACAATAGAGCTTTAGCTAATCTTTTTTTTTTTTTTTTTTTTTTTTTTAATTTTCTTATGGTACTACAAATAAACAAGTGCATATACAAACAAACAATATTTACTAAAATTATTCTCACTTTAACAAGAATATAATGTTTACTTTAGAGTTCAGCTTATTCTGCATATTTCAAAATATTAACATTTACACACAATCTCTTTCTGATTTTTGAGCAAGTGAATAGACAGCTAACAAACAAATACTGACCACTAACTCCAATAAAGGCTATCGCTTCTCTTTACGGACTCCATTGCTCTTCTTGGTTCATTGATTAGGAAGGTTAAATAATTTAAATATCTGTATTAACCCTTGTTGGTCCCTCTACTTAAAATATTTCAGTTGTAATCACTGCAGCTGAATTCAGGTAAAAATTCCGTGTAAAAGATGTGAATGCTGCATGAAAATATGATTATTGTGGGGAAAGAAGAAACTCAGGAGTTTTCAGGGAAATGGAGATCATTAGAGTAAATAAATCAATTTGTAAGCATAAAATCCAAAATCTGAGATAGGGAAGGAAGAATCATGGATGCGCACCTTTTCTTATTGTAAGTTAATAAAAATCTATTTCAGTGCCAGGCTTTTTAACACATCGGCATTAAGTAATTAAGATGTGCATCCACAGGTGTGCCTGAGGATATTTGCTTTAAAATATTTCTGTAGTTTTCGGACAGATTTTAAAGAGAGTTCATTAAATATGGGAAGAAAACATATTCACTGGTGTTTGCCAGTGATGTGGGAAGTTTCCATGAAAAGGTGCTGTCCTTCTCTTGACACCATTGTTCAGTTCTTTAAAGAGCAAATGATGCTGGGGAGATTACTTTAGAAGTAACTCTGCCTATTGATGGTCCATTTGTTCTCTCTTTATGGACCATTTATCCTAAACAGTGGTACATAGTTTAAACCTATATCAGCACCTTTGGGATCCAGCCCTAAATTCCCAAATTATGCAACTAAACAGCTTCAGAAAACAATCTTTTTTTTCTCTAGCATTCAGTCTATGCTCAGCCTATATTCTCCACATGCACACACAAAAATAAATAAAACAAATATACATATATATATACATAAGAATATCATAATCTATCCTTAGAAATATCACAGTATAATAACAGCTTTAGCCACACTGCCCAAGCAAACAGCCTATTCCAAGGGACAGAATAAGAAATAATAATAAACTGTTTAAAACTGATTTTTTTTTGGTTTTGTTTTGTTTTGTTTTGTTTTCCCATGTACAGTTCTCCAATGAGCAGAGGAATAAACAGTGAACCAGACATTGGGCTGAATTCTGGGCTGCAAAGATTGAAAAGAGGTGTGGTTTCAGATGATCTGGAGCACTCAAGCTGATTTCCTGTGCAGTAAGTGCTAAACAAGAAAGTTTCTTCTAGGTCATGAGGGCTTTGCTCACTGCAGCATGGTCTGATGGAGGGCTGAAACAGGGACCACCAGGAACAGGGAGCAAACTGACTCCTGAGGGTTTGGCTCAGGCCTTCTGAAGGGGATACCAAAAAGTAGTTTCTCCCTCTCAAGTCAAAAGAAAGCAAAAGAAAGGAAATGAAATTAAACAAAACAAACCAGAGCAACAAAACAAAACAAACTAATAAGCAAACAAACAAAAACAGGAGTCCCACTGTGCCCAGACTCAGAGAGGAAAAAAGGATTGTTTGAAGAATACAGATTTTACCCCATTGGTTGTCCTTCTGCCTTTGAGAGATATTTAGCTTTCCTGCAGGTTGGAGATAAACCTGAAACATCTTTTCAGCAAAGGCTCTGACAAAATAAAGGTGTCAATCTGCTAGAATTCATCTATTATTCATCTAATCTGCTATAATTCATCTATAAATCAGCTCCCTCCAAATATCAGGCATGTATTTTTGGCAGCATCGAAAAGACAAAGACAGGGAGGGTGATGGTAGGTGTGTTAAAAAAATCAGGGCAAATACAGTGAAAAGAAAATAAATTGAATTTCATAGAAAAACAAAAAGTCCAGGAACCCAGCTTAAAATAAGGTTTCAGTCGAGGTTGTCAGTGGCTCCTCAGAGGTATGAGTGTTTTTTGGTGTTTTTTTTACTGTCCACGAGACCTCATTACAGCACTGCACATAAATACAAATACACCAACTTTTTTTAACCACTTCAAATGCACCAAAGTGGGCTGGCAATACTGAATATTCCCATCTTTAAAATAGAATGCTCTGCCTTTCATTTGAGTTATTCAGATATCATCAGAAACGTAGGCATGCATAGAGAAGGAGGGAGATAGAGAAGCATTTCAGAAAATTGACAGCTTTGTGGATGAGTTGAAAGCAGAAGCAAGATATATTAAAAATACCAGAGAGAGAGTGAAGCACAGAAATACAGAGAAACTGGTGATTAAGGGTGTTGACAATAGGGTCTGACAGTAGGCATGCTCTGAGAGCTGAGGTATTTCAAACACAGACACCATAAAACCAGGAAGATAAACACATATCTCTAGTGACTTCCTCATCAGGTCTGACTAATTTTACCCCTGTCACTCCACAGTCAATTAAAGTAGGTTTTAGGATGGTTTCAGAGGTTACACCATGGGCAATACCAACCCTCCAATACTGCTGGCCAGAGCTGCCATGGAGACGTGTACCCTGTGTTTGTATGTAAGTATCCAACAGACAAGTTCCAGTCCAGGGAAAGGCACAAGGGCTGGATGCATTCGTGGTCCTCTTTGGTAGGAGCTCCTATCAAAAAGTCACTCTTCTGCTTAATTAAGGCTGAAACAGGCCATTGCTTGACCTGCTGATGATGGCAATCTCCTCTTGCATGGGACAATATCACCCAAGGTCTGTCAGGACTGATGGACCTTGCCTACTCAACACGTGGTCCAGCACAGCAGAATGTGGGTGATACCTGCATGCAATCAGCTTGCTGCCTGGACAAACTCAGCTCTGATTTTCTTCCTGGCACTCCCTTTTCATGCATAACAGCAAATGTTACAAGCCTGCGAAATGATCCAGTCATTTGCAAATATCCCTCTGATTATTTTGTGTGTGTGCTGACAGTCCAACCGCTACATTGTGAATTGTTTCTGATACACTATGCAAAGAGGACTTCCTTTCAATTCATTTTCTATTATTTATTTTCTTTTTCAGTTGTCTCCTGTGAGGAGGGGGTGCAAAAATCAGTGATTGATTAATTTCCTCTTTACTCTTCTGATTTGACTCATTCTGGACCCTTTCATGCACTCCCTCATGCCAAATGAACCATCTCTGTGCTGAGAACTGCTACTCTGGTAATTACTCTGCCATTGCTCCTCTCCATACACTTACTACTGGACAGGATCAGACACACTGCTAGCCCAGCCATGAAAATTTTTTGGCATTTAATCTTCCTAATTTCTTCTTAATTTTTTGTCATTAGTTCCACCTTGCAGGGGGCAGAAGAGTGGAATAAATGCACTTTCATTGAAGCAGAGAGCAGCTACTTTGATTTCTGAATGGGTGCAGTATTCCATGTGATCAGAAATTGTTTTGTTTGCTGGGGAAAATTGTGCCAGTGAGATCTAAATAAGGCACCACAGAGATCTTTTGAAACCGATCAGAAAGATGTCCATCTCCTTGCACTAAAGGCAGAAAGTGGGCATGGCTCAGCCAGGCTGGTGGCAGCACCAGCAATTGCAATGTCCCCTTTCTTCCACTATGGGAGGGGAATAAAAAACAGATTAATCCAAATGTGAAGCGATGGACTTTTTGGACTTAATCATCTGTTGCCTGTCCTCAGAGATCAGCCACACTGAAGGCAGATCAGTCGTATTCCAATTGTTGTTCTGTTGCTCTCCCAATTGTAATATATACATAAAATATACCAATAGCTATGCACTGAAAACAACTGTGGTTCACTGCAATTACCTGTGATTATTTTACCCTTTTAATACTATTTATATGGCTCCTGTATCACTGCTCCTGATGCTGAAAATCTGGATGAATTCTGGCTCACTGCAGGTTAAACTCTTATGACCACACCCAGAGCAGAGAGTTTTGAATTGTTTCTTTTGCATACAGCTGCATTTCATATACAGCATCCTGTATTTTTTTTTCTCTTGGAGCTGAATTGATGAGGTGGTGTTTGGAATATGAATGATTTAGATACATTGGCTGGTATATTTCCACCTCCAAGCTAGGCTTTCTAAATTATTATGTCTAAAAGTGCTTAATTTGTGCATAGTTTCTGAAAATAATGGCCAAACTGAGCATGAGAGTTAAAGGCAGACATTCTTTTCTTTTTTTCAAGAATGATATGGTGTATCAGCTCAGTACTTTTTAAAATGCTGATGTTCATGTCATAAGCCCCCTTATTACAGTGAATAGCCATACAGTTTTATATTGTTATTTTGCAGTCAGTTAAGTCGTTCATTGCAATTAAACAAGCAATCCCCAACTACCTGTCCAATAGGCATGTTAAAAATGCCTAATGGTTAACTTTTAACAGGATGCTATGTACTTGCAATTTAAAAGCAGTTAAGAGATCTTTCCCTTGTTGTGTATTAAAGTGTTTGCTCTGTAGCTCTGAACTCATGATAACATTTTACAGAACAAACTCTAGCAACACATTCAATGTTTATCCAGACCAAGGAATGGTTTCATCGGCATACTGCAAACATATACAGAAATGCAGCAGGAAATACAATTCCAGGCTAAAATTTGACATACAGATCTATTTCACCGACTCCTGGAGTCCATGGATAGGTGTGCTGACAACAGTGGTTTTATCTGATTGGAAAGTGAGAGTAATTCTGGAAGGACAAGTAGAGTTTAAAAACTCTTTACTACTAAAAAGTGTCCAGTGAAATCTTTTCAGGGGTGTTTTTGTTTTAATGTAATTATTACTGATGCTTTTGAAAGTACTACATTTTTCATACCTGAGCTTTGACCATTTTCCAATGTTAACAAGTATTTGTATTACGTGTTCTGAGCATAAGTATGTAACCACATTGACTTTGACTTGTAAATATGCACACAAAAATACAGTGAAGTGTGTTCTAGTGGTGACCAGCCTCTAAACATTCTCATTGCACTGTGAAAATGCTGGTGTTTTGAGAAGTCCTTATGGCACATAAGTAAAAATAATATTGATAAGCAGGCTTATGAAGTAAAAAATCTGAAAAGAAATAAAAAAGAAAAAAAAAAAGTGGAAACAGTAGCTGCTGATATTTAGGTTCTGAGTTTTGTATACATCACTGTGGCTCTGCAGCTAAGTCAATACACATTTTTATAGTGGGGAGAAACCTTGTAATGAGTGCTGCTTCTTCACTGCAAAGAGCACGCTCTGCTTATAGTGAAATATTGCATAAGCCCCAATGACACAAGTGGTAATAGTAGTCTTCTCTAACTGTACCACTGAAAATGACTTTAGCTGATGTCTCTCCATTGAAATATGCTTAAATGTAAAAACATTTTATTTTGGTTTAATACTTGGTATTTTCCTTTCCTGATCAGTAATCATTGGACTATATCCCTTTGTTAAACATTAAGAAAAAAAACATAGAAAAAAAAAAAAGGAAAAAAAAAAAGGAAAAGAAAAAAAAAAGCCCTCACTTTTATTTACCCTGTATCCTTAATTCACCATGCCATCCTATTGCATCACATTATACAGATGACATGCTGGTCAGATACAGCAGTATTAGCTATTATTACACTCTAATAGTCTGGTATTTTAACTCTGAGATCTCCATTGTACTGCATTACTGCCTATTGTTCTATTAATCTCATATTATTGAAGGGAAAATCAATAGGGAATTGTGAGTACAGTCTGCTAAGATTTTCATATCCTGTTGGTGCTATTTTTAGTTCATGGTATTTCACTGTTTTCTATATCTTGTGGAAACTGAAGTATGAGAAGAGAGAACGGTATAGAAATTATAAATAATCTATGATAAAATAAAATAATAATAATATAAAAAGTGGAACTGGTAATTCAAATAAACCTCGAATTTACTTAAATGATTGCTAAATGCTTAAATTACTGGCTAGAATTACAAAAGTTATATTGATATTACAATGTGTTTGTCCTCAGGGTTTGAGCTGGAGAGGAGGGCTGGTGGCATCTTGTGCTGGCCCCCATAATATGTGCAAATCCAGTTCATACTGGGTATATTTGATGTATTGCACTTTTTAGTTATAATCTGGTAAATCACAGAATCAGAGTGGCCTGGGTTGGAAGGGACCTCAATGATCATCTAGTTCCAATCCACCTGCCATGGGCAGGGATGCCTCCCACTAGATCTGGTCGGTGCAATACACAGTGCAGGAATCTCATAAAAATCCAGCAGGCTGGGATGAACGTCAGCAAGAAGCACTCAGTTTTTCTTGTTAAGCACACCACTGAGA